TGGGAAAATACCCGAACAAAGCTGAATACCATACATGTAAGTACCCGCGAAAACTTAAGAAAACATTATATATATATATATATATATATATATATATATATATATATATATATATATATACACACACACACACACACACACACACACACATACATATACATATACACATATATACATACACACATTTGGCTTTACAAAAGAAATACGTTGAACAAATTTTAACTGACTTAATCACATTCTTCTTCAAAAAACCTCCCAGTAATTTACACAAATTAAATTATTTCCTGAAAAGAAAATAGGCAACAATAAAAGCTTATATTATTCTGTACCAATGGCAGCTAAGTGCTGTTTATGATTCTAAAACTTTCATAATAAAGGGGGAAAAAAAACCAAGTCTAGGGATTACTTCAGAAATTGAAATAGTACTTACATTATTCATATTAAAGATTTGTCCTTATTTTAAGCCTCGAAAAACCATTAAAAGATAGTTTTGGCAAGATTGCTACTTGTTAAAAGTGTGTAAATATGCACTTATAAAATATTTTTATTCCATATAAAATTTTGCCTTTTGCAGCTTATAAATGTAGTATATCATTCCGCAGTAGCATTTTTAGTCAGTAAAGCCCAGGCATGTGAAGCAGATTCATCCCACAAGGCCAACGAAGAATGGTATTATAGAATAATAATGCAAACCTTGGAGAGAGCCAGTGAAATTATAAAACAGCATTAAACAGCGTTAACACACAAACGAGTCATTTGGCTCATTTGGAGACAAATTGTACCCTCCCACCCATGCACCAATGGAAGGGAATTAAAGGAACTGGGAAAGTATTTCAAATAAATGGAAGAATGGCTTTTATACAGGGAAGGAGGATTTACGGCATGGGAATTAAGAGACTTGTTTCCGAAATCCTATTGGTTTTATTAAAATAGGCATCTGCTCTCATGTTCTTTTTGAAAGTACATTATCTACATCAGGTTAAGCATGTACGTATATATGCATGCATGTATGTATATATAGTATATTGCCATTTCCATTAGCTGATATTTATTTTCAAGACTTAGAGGCACGGCAGGTAATACTGGCTTGAAAGACACTGTCAGTTAAGGGTGACCATTATGCCACCTTTTCACCACAATTTTAGCCTTCCCATCCCTCAGACCAAGTGCCCATTCTGTCCAGTTCTAGTGCTCCCAGAATCTTGCCCCAAACAAATTTAATCTTTCTACTAATTTCATATTTGAACATACTTTGCAGTTTTTTTTATTTAAGCCCTCTACTGTATCTCTAAATCAGTCCCGATTCCTAGACCACTAAATGCTGTGATTTCCCTCTCCACTTTGAAGGCTAAATACATCAAAGGGTATATTCCTCGTAGCTAAGAGTTAGACTGTGAAAACAGTTCGCTTCTGAATAATCAATTGCTGGGCCCACCACAATGGTGAGAAATGCTGTCTTTGTGTCTTGTTTATGAGATTCTTGAGGTTAATAAATGCTATATTAGACAGGCATCTGTTTAGAATCAGGAGGGCTCTCAGATTTGCTATTTCTTGCTTCTTTTCCCCCCCTTTCTGTCATGAAGCTCCGTGACTTCTCTTCAGTCCCTGTTGCATCTCAGCAGCATTAACAGGTTGCAATGGGATGGGGGAATTTGCTGCACTTTGAAAAACTAACCATCCAAGAAAGCTTTGTTGATAACAGAAATATCAAGAACAGAACTTTAATGAACAAAATATTTATCGATTTACATACATAAGAAAACAAAACAGAGAAACAAATCATCCTATATAAGCCATTCTTTTAAGATGATTGTCCTCTCCAGTGCATACAGTCAGAGCTGGTTGTTTACTATCACATCCTTATAAATGTTTTCCATGAATGTGCTGAAAGTTGGCTCAGTTAGGCAGGGCAGATATTATTTCTAGGGCTGGTTTAAAAAAACCATAGTTTTTACCAAAACAAAATACACAAATAAGAAAATTGAAAACTGAAACTTTTATTTCCAGAAACCTCAACTACAAGCAAGCCGTTTTTCAATTTATTAATACTGAAGTAAAAGTCAAAAGACCCTCCAGGAAAAAATATCCTTGGGAAATGCCTATTTTTTCTGATTTTTTTTCTACCATTTGAGTTCACCATAATACCAAATAGAAAGAAAGATAAAAACACAAACGTAGGTATATAATTCAGTACTACTCAGATAGAAACACAAATTCTGTGAACTAACTAGACAATAATTACAATTAAGACACAGACTTGATTCTGAATTGCAGTTCAGTTATACAAGGATTTCTTTTCTTTTTAGGGTGGGGAGGTCTGATTGAAGTAGCATTTTCTTCTTTTAACAAGCAAGGACACGTGGAATTTTATCTTGGTTCTCTACTATCAGCCGTGAACGAACAAAACGTATTTAATATACTATCAGGAATCCAAACAAAACTGTACTTAGTATGCCACCTTCCTATGTTCTTTATATATCACACATGCTATAGTTTTAATTCAAAGGTGAGCCCCGTAGAATTGTCTTGATTGACTGAGAGGAAGAAAGAATTCTACTGGGATTTCAAGAATTTCAAGAAATGTGATGGCATTTACTATTTTTCTATTATTCATTCCAGGCATACAAATAAATATGTGGGTGGGTAGGGAAAGTAATCACATAGTACAGTAGTCATTTTATTTTATTTTCCATTATTTCCTTTGTGCTTCAGAGTTAGTTTTGCTTGGATGCTACTGAAAGTTTGCTAGTTTGGACATAGGCATGTATATAAGCCTACCTGCATTTATGTATGTCAGAGGACACACTGCATGTGATTTCACTTTAACCATACATTAGCAAACATTCATTCTTCTTCCAGGAATTACAACCTTTAGACTTTGAGATAGATCTAAGAAGCAATATATCACTTGGGGTACAGGGAGCTGATCTAACATGCCATGTTTATATGATATCTGGAATGTAATAGAAAACGGTTCTTTTCTTAACAACTTGAATTAGTTTCAAGTGTGCCACTTTGCATTCAAATGTAGAAAGACATGGAAACCAATCCTTTATTTTCCATTAGAAAACAGCCACTGTCCCCTATCTCTCATTATGGTGCAGACTACAAGACCTAACAACAAAAATCCATATTATTGATCTAACCAAGTCTCCACAATTATTCTTTAGAAGGAAACGCCGACGATAAATTACATCTGCACTGGCTTTTCATCTGCTGTTCGATATAAGTGATCTCTCAGGGCAGGCTGGAGACCTTAAATCGTCAACACCCTTGTCAAGGAAGCTAAGGAGGCCCAGGCTCCACTACAAACTGCCTTGAAAGAACTTTTAACCTGTAATTTCTTGCAACAACTCATTTCATTTTCAGAAAATTGTAAAATCTTTTCAGGATTTTTTTTTTAATTTAATGAAACACTGTTTCATCTTCTCACAATATGCCTAGAGAATTTTGATTTTAAGATCATTTGTCTCCTATCTTACAGTTTCAACATGTTACTGCTATAATCTCAGGTGCCTTTCTGTGTTTTCCTTATCTCATTATATTGCAGGCTACAGCACAATTCTAATATTCTCCTTAAAGTATCAGGCTAAATTAGAAATGTTTATGTGGCTAATATTATTTTGGGTTACTATTAAAGACTTTTAAGATCTTCACTGGAATCTTTGTTCTAGTAAGTTTAAAGCAAGGATACAGCTATTATTTTTTCCTGCTGTAGTGAACTCTGCATCTTTTGTTATATTAATCTGATTTTTATTAAGGCATTAATTTAAACTTTAACCCTATTGCTTTAAAATGAATGCAGCCTCAGCATTCTTGGAAGCAGCTGGTATCAAATAATGAATAATATTTCAGTTACAGCTGGTTCATATAGAAAGATTTAGCTCATTTTCCTTACTGCAATCTGTCCTTCGTATATTTATTCATTTGTTTAAATATAACATATATCTCTGCTTTACTCATTACAGTAAAAGCTAATATAGAATGAAAATTAACATGCAGGACAAGTAATCATTTTCCAGCGGCATTTGGTATTACTTAGTTCCAAAAGGTCCACCAGTTTAGACAATATTTTCTCTTTTTTAATTTGATACATATTTGTATCAAGGCTGGATTTCACTAATCAACAGCATGCATAATGATTGTGTAACTCAGCCTTTTGAATCAACTTAGTTGCATGATGAAATCATTGCATTTCTAGATGCAGGCACCTGCACTTTTAAATGAAATAGATCTTACTCACAGTGGTGTTAATGACTGAAGGTATTTATTTATTCTAATAGTAGCATTATAATATACACCATAAGTAGCTTTGTCTCCTAACAAAATATCATCAAAGCAAACCTATTTTATTTTAAATATGATTTCACAGCATAGGAACTTGGATTAAAAAATAGGACTAGCGAAATAAAAAAAATCTAAACAGCCCTCTGACATGGAGAAGTGTTCTTTAGAAGTATTGAACTTCTAGTAATCCCTAATTTTTCAGTCAGCAAGGAGTAGTAATTATGACCAAGAATTCTATGAATTGTAGTTCAGTACAAGGTTAGTGTTTAAATTTCCAGCCATTTAAATGGTACAGATATACCCTGGGAAACCTAATAGTTAGAACTTTCTTTCTCTTCACACTTCCATCATTGGGGAATTGTAGAGATGTTACAGAGCAGAACCCGATTGTGTATATCCAAGAGTAGCAACTATGTCTTAACGATTCCAGAGTAAAAGACATATCTTGAACCCTAGCTTTATTTTTACTTCCAATACCAGCCATGTGTAGCCTCTTCCCCACCCATTTCAAGGAAGGAAAAAAAGCATAACCAAACCTGTATGTGTCCGATAGTGATCTTTCATGGCTGATGCGGTGAGAAAGGAATAATGGCAAGTCGGCCATGTGCATTTATAGGGCTTCTCTCCTGTGTGAAGTTTCATATGATTGTTCATGGCCCACTTCTCTGTGAAACTTCGATTGCACAAGGGGCAGGTAAATTTCCTGTGTACAAGGAGAAAATCAAGAAGGGGGAGAAGAATTAACCACATGTATGCAACACCCCCAAACTGACACACACACACACAAGCATGTTTTAAACTCAAACTGTGCTAAATGCACAGACTTTCATGAAGAGAATTGCAGACCTGGTCTGTCATGTCTGTATAACCAGGCATTGATTTTTCTGTCGAGACTTGGCACTTCAGCCATTTATTCTCTGCTTTGCGGTTGGGCCCAACGGGTTTGAAAAATTCTGTTACAGTCCACTCACCCCTGAGGCAAATGTGAGAATAGATTTCACCTGTACAGGCCTACACCACTTATCCGAGCATGGGCTGTCAGAGCAAAGGCTAAATGAAAAGCTATCCATACTAAACTACTCAGACAATCACACTGCTCCATACCAGGCTGCTGTTACTGCAGTGGGGAGGTGAAATACTACTTGTAATAACCCTGTTACCATAGTAAACAGAAAAGCACTCCCCCCTGCTCTCTCCCTTCTCCCAGTAAATCTTCAAGGGGGTAGCAAAAGGTCTGCCGGCATTTCTTGAAAGGTTCAGGCCCTTCTTGAAAACAATCTCGAAAGGCTAAACTGGAAGTGGTTTACTGTTTAAAACATATCCTCAATTAAGGAATAAAACCATACCAAAAGTAGTCTTGCTCATAGTTACAAGGTGCAAGAGGTTTAATGATCAAAGTTCGCTCAAGCAAAGGGAAGGAGGAAGGAGGTTGTTTGGAGGAGGGGGAGATATATTTGTTCCAATGCTCAAGTCCAATTGAGTGTTTCCGTGAGTGGGCTGCACTTCCACCCACAGAGCTTTAATAGGAAAAGCTACATTCCTAGAGGGCATTGGCATCACTTCATGATGGTAAGATTATCTAACTCAGGGGTGTCAAACTTGTGGCCGTCACAGTGTCGTCACGTGACGTATCAGGACTTTCCCCCCCCCCTTTGCTAAACCAGGCGGGGGCAGGGCCAGCACGTGACACATCCAGCCCATAGGCTGTGAGTTTGACATTCCTGATCTAGCTCATCTAAAAGGGTTTCGAGGCATTGGTAGGGTGTGAACTACTCTTTAATGTAAACAAAGCCCAAGATACTTCCTTGAAGAGGTTTTTTTAAAAAGCAAGCAAGCAAACAAAAAACAAACAAACAACATATTAAACTGAACCTGGGGCTATGTTAGTGGCAAATGCAACACACAAAGAACTAGCATTGGCATTTGTCTATGGAGATTCTCAGTCATCAGGTCATGAATGTCCCAAAGGTGCTTTTTTTCAATAGGCAACTCCTTCCATTCTCCACCATCCAGTCAGAGCTGAAGAAGCTTCTTGGATGAGAAGCGAAACATCTTCAAAAGAAAACACCAGAAAGTCCAGTTGCCTCTTGAAAAAAGAATCTTTGGGATAGCATTGGTATTTTTTTCTGCTTTTTTGGATCAGTTGAACCTCTAATACAAATACTTTTCAAAGGCAATCCCACAGATATTTCAGTAGTGAAGAGATCATGCATAGGGATGGTCTTGACTTTCCAGACTGAAGAACCAGCATGAGAGGTGTACACATTGCATCAGGTTGTTAATTGTCCAGGAACAGAGAGGTATCCAAGATAACATTCGGGAATATAAGCTAGTTGTTATCAAAGCCTTAAATCAGATGATGATCTGTTCACAGAAAAAAGTGCTGGGCAAAGATCGGCTTTTTTACAAATGGAAATATTGATCTTGACTATCCATGAGGGTAATAATCTCCTGACAAAACCTCACAAACAAAGGAAAGGAAACAAAAGAGGTTTGTGGGCACTTTGGCAGTCCAGAAAAGATGACTTTGGAGGTATAAATTAGTGGTCAGATAGGAAAAGAGAGTTCTACAGCCAATCTCCTTCATTCACTCACAATTGTCTGGGGTCAAGATAAGATGGAAAACACTGTTTTCATGGTGGAATCCCACAGTCTAACTTCAGACTGCTATACTAGGCTGGACACAAAATGGAAGCTTCATTACAAAGACCTTCCTTCAGCAAAGAGTTATTGGAGCATCACTGCACCATGGGAAGCAGACTCTGGTGATAAGTCCTCTACTGACTAAAGACATGATGGGTGTCAAAATCTAGTGTCCCATTAGGTGATGATCAATCCATATGAGAGATTTGATTTGGGATGTAAGAATAAGGGTTAATCAATGAAATACTAGAAAAGAAATAGCGACTTTGAGGGAAATAAAAAGTTGTTTGATAGCTGGGTGAAGAACAAACAAAGAGCCCCCAGCAGAGGAAACAGAATTTAAAATAATGGTGATATTATTTTGAATGAAACTGAAGTGAGGGGTTACTGGAAGAAATGCTGTAGAGATTTTTTTTTTGGGAATGGCAGTGATATGCCAAGAAGTGGAAGTAAAACAAACACTATAAATATTAGTGTCCAAGACAAAGCTGAAGACACAGAAATGTAGAAAAGCAGCATAATAACAAATGGTAAAGCTATTGGTGATCAACTGGATAAATACTAAGATATGGATGCAGTTTACTTATAGTATGGTTGTAACAAATCATATGATAATGTGAATTGATTTGAATTATTTTCTACAAGTATAGAGTTGAAGGTAAGTTGTTGGATATGGCGAGAGTAATGCATGAAAAAAATGAATCAAATGCTTAATCAAATTCAACACTGATCAAGTATTAAAACAAAAACTTATCTTATATTCTGCCTTTTAATGTATTCATGAATAAATGAATGATGGTTGTATTTGTAGAAATATGAAAGTATGTGTACATTTGTGAGTAGACAATGCCATGCTTTGGTTAAAACCTGAATGATTTGCAGCCAACGCTTGACTGATGTCATGATAAAATTAGGAGCACGGATCTGCAATGAAATGTAATCAAAGCTCACGAAGAAAAAATGAATGATTGTTATAGCTAAGTGACAAAAAAAATAGAGCAACTACATAAATGTATGTATCTACCTGGGAAGAATGTTAACTGAGAATGGGAAAATAAATGGAGAAATTTTAAGATGTGCTTCAGTTGATAGAATACAATAGAATCCTTCTATTGTAGGGAACTAATGTTTATTGGAAAAAGGAAAAAAGTGAGTGTATAAGAATATAGTTCTGCTTACCTTTTACTGTATATGAGAGTGATGGATGTGTCAGGAAATATAAAGCAAGGTCAAATACAGTGGGAACAGAGTACTTAAGAAGTATATATAGTAAAACAAGAAGAGATTAAGATTGAATGAATAGCTGATTTCCATTAAACAGTTGTTTAATTTTGAAAGAGAATTTATGATTGAAACCTCTGTTGTCAAATGTGTTTGCAATATATAAGAGGCATGGAGGAAATATTACATCATAATGTTCCTTGGATGTAGAAAATGCATCTAAGAGTGAACAAAATCAAGGCTCTAATTGCTCAGTCCAGATCACCACACAAACTACTATGATTCTGGTGGTCACTTGCCTTTGAAGATGACAATTCAGGCTTTGTGTTGGGAAAAAAAATTACAATTTTGGGGTTTTCTCATATAAATGCATTTTCTTCCTAAAGTCAGAATAATCTATTTTTAATGTGTTGCTTAAAACAACCAGTTTGATGCTACTCTCCAGGTAAACATTAACATTACTTGTTTAAAACATTAACAAGTATTTCATATAAAGTGCACAATGCAGTCTAAATAAAGATTTTTCTGTATAGGTTTGCAGTTATGGCTTTGTTAAGCAATTACTAAATTTACCACTAAAAGTATTTACACTACAGGCACATATAACATAAAAATAAACATGATAGATGCATGTGTGTGTATACTGCTTCAAAATTTCAAATTACTTTATCAGTTGATCGTTGATTGTTGGCACTAGCAAATGATATATACTGCTAAATACTTCCAAATGCACCATAAAAAATCACATCTGTCAGGTCTTCATGTATTTCACATTTCAAAAGCGTGACAGGGATCTTATTTCTAAGCTACATTTCCTATCTACTTATTTCCTTATATATTTATTATCATTCTAACCTTCAACTACATGAAATAAATAAGCAGGTTAAACAGATGCTATCTTTTAACAGTTTTTCTTGACTGCTTACAACTTTATGAAGGGTAATATAAATCCTTCATTTTTAGATCTTCAAGATGCACATTTAACAGTATTACACCTCCTGAACCCCAAAGCATGCTCAATTATTCACATATAATAAAAATGTTCAAGTAAGGTTGAAAGACTCTCTTTAAAATGACAAAACAGGAAAGTCAGAGTAAATACTGAAAGTGACTCTGTAATTCACCACATGATAGCGAGATATTGAAGCAAATTAGTCTAATTTCCTAGCATATAAACAAGATGAAATTGCAGGATTTGAGAATGACTTTAAAAATGTTCAGTAATGATGTGAGGTAGTTTAAGCCAAAAACAATGATTCGCCAAGGACCCTCAATTGTCTTGCAACAGATTAGTGCTATAAATGATTATGTTCTCCATGCCCATCTAACCCAACACTGCCACTGATAGATTCTTCCTCAAATATTCTAATATAGAAGAATAAAGTATTATTGTACTGCAAATCAAACTACTCGCCGCAATGAAGTGGGTAGAAAATATGTAACACATTTTATCAATTAGTAAAACACTGAGTTCTTAGCCCTCTCATGTAAACCAGACAACACAACTTATGAGTTAATTCTATTTTATTGTAAGGGTAGATGTACAGAATCTTTCAAGTCTGAAGATACAAACTTCCCATTGTTACTTGTAACTACTTGATCAACCACGACCGGTCCTTCCTAAATTTCTTTCTCTGAGCGTTAAGCCATTGGGGGCTCCCTCCTCTATTGTTGAATTGTTTCTAAGTAGCATCTCTTCTCATTATCCTCCCAAGGTCATCCACATATTTAATTATGAGAATACACTGGTTCCTTGGAATTGATCAGGAGAAGGAGAGAATGGGAAATTGCCCACATGTGATCTGTAAGACCGATATTTGCAGTCTTCCATAGGTTTTG